AAAATTTTCTGGAAAACTCGCAGCCGCTATCCTTTGGGTGCGCACGGGATAATCTGCTTATTGTGAATCACGCACAAACCACACATGAGATAAAAACTGCACTAGTCAAGCGGAGGCGGAGCTAGAATTTCAAGTCTGTGGGTTAGGAATTCTAGTCGTTTTAAACTACTGGGCTCTAAATTAATAGTTTATATATATTTAACAATTTTTTAAGACAAATACAGGATTCGAACCAAAGCTACTGGGTTCGGCCAAACCCGCTCGGAATACTCTAGCTCCGCCCCTGTAGTCAAGTCGGGTGCGACGATCTATGACTGAGGAGACTGCTGGCGAGGGGAATCGATCTCAGATCTCCACATGGAAAACCACTCATCCAACCCTTGTGGGCCATTGATTAAGATGATGCCATTGTATCCTTAAATCAAATCTCAATCTTTATTTGATTTGATATTCTTTAATCCAATTTCAACAAATCGCATAAAATTTGGTGGACGTATAATATTTCCAACGATCACTCATAAATCCTTTCTGTTTAGATTTAAAACACCAACAGCTTTATGATTGATAGAGCATAAATCATAATCCTACTTATATTCCATATCTATTTTTCTTCCTTATGTACACTAATTATTCGTAAGTGTTGAATTAGGCTTATTCGAAATTCAGAAAATTGACCCAAAAAATGATGGAGCAAAGACATTAATAATGATGGAGAATCCAGGCTATATTAAACGTGATCCATGTGCATCAGCTTTCTCTTTTCATTAGGTGTCTCTTACCTGCATTGAAGTTCGATTAAATTTAGATTCATGCTGGAAAGTCTCACATTAAAAGGTAAAGTATTTCCGGGCAAGGCGATTTCTTACTTCTCGAAAAGTTTGATTAAAAATGAATAAGTACGTATCACTCCACCACTAATAAGTGTGCCGTCATACATACAACTACTCTACAAATCAACCTCCAAAAAATATTATTTCCCTATTTGGTGCTATAAAGCTTTACAACAGTAAAAGATGACGCATCGACTAAGGAAAATAGAAAAAGAGGAAAAGGAGAAAAGAAGCATCGACGTTCGCCAATGTAAATAATAGAATCCAAAAATAATTAAGAAATCTTTCCAGCGAGACTTACATCAAATATGGCGAAATAATATTTCTGTATTAAAAATACTCCTTCCTTCATTTTTAGTTATTCGCTTTAAAATTTTGCACTCCCTTTAAGAAAAAATAAATAAAATATATATTTTGTAATTTTACCCATAATAATGATAGCATTTCAAAAAATATTGAAAAATTATTTGGGGAATGAGTAGTTAATAATAAGTGTTAAAACGAGAAAAAAAATTGTCTTCTTCTTGAATTGCAAAAATGGATAAGCAAAAGAAAAAATGTATTTTCATTATAATGGACATGTTAAAGTGAACTGAGGGAGTATGAAAAAGCTAAACTAACATATGGGATATTGCCTTCTTTTCTTGGGCAAACAAGGCTGGGTATAAGCTACTAATTGATTTAACTGCAAAAGTGACAAATTAAAGTGCAAATATATATAAACAAATAATTTGAATTCCCTTGCTTAGTATATAAACACTAAAAGCAAGTAAATTTTACCCATTCACATATGACAGTATAAGCGGGTTCAGACCGAATTTAATGAGAAAATTATTTCTAGTAGTTGAATATATATTTTAAAAAAATAAAGCTTTAGTCATTTCAACCCAGTAATTAAGTGCAATGACACTTGATGTGCACTGGCTTATATATTGAATTCATTTAGATGAGTAAATTATGTACTTTAGTAGGTACATAAATCAATAATGTTGGTTGAGACATAATCAGTTTGTTAGAATATTAAACGGAAATAGCGGACAACAACTGTCTGGAATTCTGAATAATACAAAATCAACCTAGAAGGATCATAGGACACGCAACTACTTGTCATGTTAATAGTTGCGCGAAATCAGAATTTGAAATTTATTTAGTCTTAACTTGCCATCAAATTTATAATTTGCTTTAGTTATTTGATTCGCAATTAAATATTTATATATTTTTATAGGATTTACTAATACAAATATGAGTTCCAATTGAGTAAAAAACTATTGAATTTCATCTGATACCATAACTAATATTGTAGCTCTGCCACGCCACGCCATGTGAATTAATGGTCAAGAGAAGAAAACAAAACAAAGAAACGCCGATATTGATTCTTCTAAATTTCCAATTAATACAGCACAACGACACAGCTACCACTAGCAATAATCCATTAACACAGCTAGCTAAGTCCATGGCCCCCCTAGTCAACATTACTTCGACGACTAGGACTAGCTGCAGCCTTAATTTCTTATCTACCATTTTGAAGTTTCAAATCCTGTTGACAATTAATGGTTCATATATTACAGGCTTGTTACGCCAATCTTTCTTCTGTTTATTTTTCTTCGCTACAGTTAGAGTTGACAATTTTAATTTGTTTTCTAGCAAGTAAATTTTTGTTTGGTAATGCACAGAGAAACAAGATTTAGGATGGTATTACTGCAAAATTGATATTAGTTGATATAACTTCCCGCCACCTGGTTGACGTTTTGAGTTTGAGTCTGATCGCTATTCAATTATTGAAAAGAATTTTCCTGTGCTTAACAAATAAAAAAGAACCAGACAAACACACCGTGCTGAGAATATAATAGTAAAGTAAAAAAATATGATCTTTCTAATCATTTAAGTTTCAAATGAGATTGTGGCACAGTTCAACCCAAACTGATAAAAAACGACTACTCAGCTGCGAGCTTATTTATTGGTCAGTGGGAATTGTATGGCCAAAATTCGACCGAGGAAATTGATTATCGTGAGATTCGTAACTTATCATAGGCAGTTTGGCCGAGATCGAGAAGCATGAACAGAAGTAACGGCTAGTATAGCTTTGGAACCTTCAAAGGGAATATTCTATTGAATATTTTATTTGTGATACCTTTTAGGGTTTTTTGGGAATATCTCATATAAATAGTAAGAGAGATAAGGCAAAAGGCATGTAATATTCCATTTGATAAGAACACTTTTGAAAAGTAAGCTCTCGAGATAAATACAAAGAACAACTTTCTGATAGAGATCCGATCTTTGTATTCTATCCATTGTCATTTCCACCTGATCCGAGAAAGTGTCCAATACTCTCTCGCATTTTTGTCATTCATCATTGTCAAAGGAATACATCATTCAATATTGGGTGAATCTTCCTCCTTATTTCATTTAGTGTCATTTATTGTTATTTCCTACTTATCATTATTCTCATCCCATTAATAACCGCAACATTTATTGTGTATTGCACTAAATCAACTTCGACGTGGTCCCGCACTGATTTTAAATCTAGGGTTATTATCTTTAACTAGGATATCCTCTTATCGTTTTATTTAATTAGTTTAACCAAAGATTCATATTTTTTGTTCAAACAGGAACTAATCAGGGAATTAAGAGTTAACTTCTTATTTCTGGAAATAAATTTGATTGTCCTATTTTCTTGTGGTGTTGAATCTAAATTCCAGATATATGTTGGATTTCTCTGATATTTTGGGGAAAATTGAGAGGGCACTAACAGAGTGGATAACGAACGTAACTTATAATATATCGTTTTCGTATAATAGTAGCATGTCCACAGAGTAGCATATTCGCACCTTTATTTATCACATACATGGGGCATAGTTTGCTGGCTGGCTTTTGAAGCTAATAAAGTTAAAGTAGTGGCTGCTTCACTGTTTTATCATTGAAAAGCAGCATTTGTCAATACAGTCGAGGGATTTAATATTACGTTAGTAGTATTTAGTAAGCTACAATACTTTTGTCTTTCAAAGGTGATTGTCTGTCCAGTTAATTTCAGAGCACATTGGATCCTTTTACTGTTTAAGAAGACGTGAAAAATCTAAAATTGGTCCCTCTTCTCTCGTAAGTGGTAAAGAAAATGTGGATTACAATAGCTAAAGCGTCACTCTGTCTTTGTTGTTGGTATTGCATTTTTTTTTGGAGTCTTGATTGGCGGCTTTTCACCCTCAAGGCATCACTTCTTGAGTTGTGCGGAAAGTTCAAAATTTTCATTTAAGTGGCGAAGCTAGATTTTGAGTTTTAAGAGTTTTGTATTGCAAAAAAAAAGAAGCTCACTGGAATTTGGATAAATTACTTTTATATATTAAATGTTATTTAACAATAATACGGAGTCTGAACCAAAGATACTACGTATCTTTTAACGAACCCATTAAGAAGAATTGTTGCTCCAATCCTCGTTTTCAATTCACGAAGACACAAAGAGTAGCTGCCTACTACTTGTTATTCTTCCTGTTTCATTTTTATATCGTGGTATTCGGTTGAATACAAAGTTTAAGAAAGAATTTTTTTAAAAATTTATTGGCTTAATACATACTATGACATTTGTGTTATACCTATAAAAAAAATATGTCATTAAATGTTAAATAAGACTTTTAAAATTACCAATCATAAAAAAAATTACATTTAATTTTTCGAGATAAATTAATTAAAAAAGGAAATTAACGCCAGTATTCCACGATTCTTGTTCTAGGGCACTAATTAGCTGCTCCAAATTAGTAAAAGTTTAACAAAGCACTTGGGCGGGCAAAACAGCAAGCCAGTGAGTGAAGACTGGCCAACAAATGTCACGCTAAGGAAAAATACGCAGAAAATAGATTAAGTAAGATAGACATTCACTTTGATTCGTCATTTTACAATGACCAATAGTATCCTGTAACCCAAGGCTAAAGCCCTTTTGCTTCGCCAACTTGTATTCTTGTAACACAACATATAATTTTCAACTAATCTTGTCATATGCCAACATCACTGATTGAGTTATAATAATTGATTAAAGTTGATAAAGGCAAGAGGTCAAATGGGGCACACACATCGAGAAAAAGAAAACGAAAGACAACAAAGCAAAGAAAAGTATAGATGCCATTCGCACCATTCATGTGGCATCTATAATTACATGCAAATTAAATTAGTACTAGAACAAATTTTAACAGAATGTTGAAAAAGTAGGACCAGTGTTACTGATATAAAACCCCACCAATCCAACACTTCTCTTCACAACTCTACCTTATATTTCTTCATCCAAAATGACACGTGTCAAAGATTTCTTCGCCGGAATGTTGGATTCCGGCAAGAACGTTAATTTTTCCAAAGGAAAAAAGAAACTATTCTTGACCGTCGTTGCCTCAGTCCTACTCGTTGCAGCAGTTATCGGAGTAGTTGTCGGTGTAAAATTCCGTTCAAATAACTCCGACGACCACGCAGACATACAGGCCATTACCTCTGCAGCTCATGCCATTGTAAAATCTGCGTGTGAAAACACCCTGCACCCCGAATTATGTTACTCTACAATTGCAAGTGTTTCAGATTTCTCCAAAAAAGTAACTAGCCAAAAAGACGTGATTGAGTTGTCCTTGAATATCACCTGCAGGGCCGTCCAACACAACTTTTTTAAGGTCGAAAAACTCATCAAAACAAGAAAAGGTATTACTTATTAAAATGCATAACCATCTCGAATAAACTTAAATTAACTAACAAAGTACACTTTTAATTACTGTATTTAATTATATTATGTCTTAACTTGGGGCCTTGAGAAACAGTCTCTCTGCTCAATGTAAGGGTAAGGTATAATTTACCCTCCATAGACTCCACTAGTCGGATTCTACTGAGATGTTGATGTTGTTGTTATGTCTTTAACTTGCCCTTAACGTCGTGTAGGTAGGTTTGATTTCATATTGTCTGATTGAATATCATGTTGAACGGTGTGACTGATATATTAAGTAATTGTTTAATTATACAGGTCTAAAGCCACGAGAAAAGGTTGCGTTGCACGATTGCCTTGAGACAATAGACGAGACTCTCGACGAACTCCACACGGCCATAAAAGACCTCGAGCTATATCCCAACAAAAAGTCTCTGAAAGCCCACGCAGATGACCTTAAAACTCTAATAAGTTCAGCAATTACTAACCAAGAGACTTGCCTTGACGGTTTCTCTCACGACGACGCCGATAAAAAGGTTCGCAAAGCTTTGCTGAAAGGTCAAAAGCACGTAGAAAAAATGTGCAGTAATGCTTTAGCTATGATTTGTAATATGACCGATACAGACATTGCTAATGAGCAGAAGTTGAAGGGTACCACTACTAACAGGTATTAAAATTTGTCTTGTCCGAATATCTTAAAGTTTAAATTATTAAAAAGAGTGTATATTTATTTGCTTAATTATATTTACGACGCTGCAAGCATTGTTATACTAAAAAATATATATTTATTTACTTAATTATGTCTTAAACAATAGGAAGTTGAGAGAGGACAATAGTGAGTGGCCGGAGTGGTTGTCTGCTGGGGACAGAAGATTGCTGCAGTCCTCGACGGTGAGGCCCGACGTGGTTGTGGCGGCGGACGGAAGCGGAAATTTCAAGACGGTGTCGGAGGCGGTAGCAAAAGCACCAGAGAAGAGCAGCAAGAGGTATGTAATAAGGATAAAAGCTGGTGTTTACAGGGAGAATGTAGATGTGCCGAAGAAGAAGACAAATATTATGTTTATGGGAGATGGAAGAAGCAATACTATTATTACAGGAAGTAGAAATGTGAAAGATGGTAGCACTACTTTCCACTCCGCCACTGTTGGTAAGTTTTTCAATTATTTGTATCCAGCTAGCTTTAAAAAATTGTAACTTTTTTCTTCTGATTAATTCCTTAGTTTACTACTAATACCATGTAGAGTTAGCTTAGGTCTGCAGCTAACTATCGCTAATTGGATTTATTGCTATTTTAACTAATCTTACTATTAGTAATTAACGTTGAGGAAATGGCGTGAATGTCCTTAAACTGGTGGTTTAATGTTATTGCTGATTATATTGATTGAAACTAAGAAACTACTTATTAACCTTTTACCGTAATCTTTGACCTCCTCCGTCCCCTCTTATCAATGGTCATGTCCTTAGTGATAAAACAACGTCATATCCTGCCTAATTATTATGAAAAATTTAGTGTAAATCATTCTTTAGGCGAGTGTATATAAGTTAAGCCCATTTCAAAGTAGAAATCATTGTTTCGGAGCTGGAATCCTGGAAAATGTGCTAATAATTCCACACACGAACAAAATAATGCGTACAATGTTGCAAAGGAATTGAAGCAGGGATATGGCCATGTGGGAAGGTACTATTTGGAACATTATCTTTTCTTTTGGGTGAGATTTAGTAACATTATCGGTCCCTACTCAGTCCTAAAGTATAAAATTATTACTATGTTACATCACATTTTAAAAAAAAAATTAAGCTGATCTATTCTCACTTGAAAATAAGAAAAAGTTCATTAATTTACCTCTAAAATGAGAAAAGAAGAACTAAAGTTCAGTACTTTTATTTGTTTGTAGCAATTGAACAGAATTTAGTGTCTAGCCTTTATTTTTTACTCAATCTGGAAATTACGAATCTCACGTCTGGAAAAGTAAATTGGAGAGCTGCACGATTTAGATTTGTCATCCACTTCGGCTAAATATAATCTAGTCGCAAGATTCTAGTGATATGATCAAAGCCTTTGATTCAAAGGTTACAGTTCGCTCTCTGATGCTTTCCAGCTGGGAACTGGCTTCTTTCCTTTTTAATACTTCATAACTTTTGACTTTTCTGTATCAATGAGGTCACCTCTTTCTTCCCAACTTAGAAAAGTATCATCTATTTCCCCCATTTAGTATATTTACTATCTTTTTTTTTTTCTCTTTCTGAAACAGATTCTTTATTTTTTTGAAGTAAGGGTAAAGTTTGTATACACTCTATCCTTCATATACCTACTTTTGAGATTTTACTGGATTGTTATTGTTATAGTATATTTACTAACTTTATCTAAAACTATGATACTAGAAGGAAAATGATGATTTATTACTCTGTTCTATTTCAATTTAGTTATTTAGATGACACACTTTCTTTATTAGTCTCTTAACAAAGAATGACACATTTTTATATTTAGAAACTATTTTACTTTAAATTTTTTATTTTACTCAATTTCCCGTTAATTAGAAGCTTTTATACACACAAAAATATCATAAGCGCCCAAAGCTTTGGCCCTTTGAACTTATAGGATCACATGTTTTAAAAAAATATTAAATTTTGTGTCTAAGTCAAATTATATCATTTGAATTTGAAAGAAATTATAATTTTATAATGGAAATAAAGGTTCTTTTCTTCTTTATAGCAGCCTTTAGTAACTGATTCCTTTGATTACGGTCCCGATAAGAATAATTCATTGGTACATTCTTAGCTGGCAATAAATGTGACGCTCTCACCTTTTTTGTACTTTAGTCACTTGGATATTTATTCGATTTCGATAGGGAAAGAACTATGTGACAGTTGAAAATTCAAAATCTAACATACATTTATTAGTCGTTTTATTCGTGTTGTTGGATAGAATTATTGATGAGTTGTCTCAAATTGATGTGCAGCTGCGGTAGGTGAAAAATTCTTGGCCCGAGACATAACTTTCCAAAACACTGCAGGGGCCGCAAAACACCAAGCCGTAGCACTTCGCGTGGGGTCTGATTTGTCCGCTTTCTATAGATGTGACATTTTAGCCTATCAAGACTCTCTCTACGTTCACTCCAATCGTCAATATTTTGTTCAGTGTTTAATTGCGGGCACTGTTGATTTTATTTTCGGCAATGCTGCTGCTGTTTTACAAGACTGTGATATTCATGCCCGGCGTCCTGGTTCGGGTCAGAAGAATATGGTCACAGCCCAAGGAAGATCTGACCCGAACCAGAACACTGGAATTGTGATCCAGAAATGTAGAATTGGTGCAACGTCTGATTTGAGACCAGTTCAGAAGAGTTTCCCCACGTATCTTGGACGGCCATGGAAAGAATATTCTAGGACTGTGATTATGCAATCGTCAATTACTGATGTGATTAATTCTGCTGGATGGCATGAATGGAATGGGAATTTTGCGCTTAATACTTTGTTTTATGGCGAGTATCAAAATACTGGGGCAGGAGCTGGGACCTCAGGAAGAGTTAAATGGAAAGGGTTTAAGGTCATTACAAGTGCAACTGAGGCTCAAGCTTATACTCCTGGTAGATTCATTGCTGGAGGTAGTTGGTTGAGCTCCACTGGCTTCCCTTTTTCTCTTGGTCTCTGAAATCCTTTATTTTAAGTAGTATTTTGTTTTCAAGTTTTTGTGAAGTTTCATGAGAAATGTTTATTTTGAGCCGGAGGACACTCATGCATGGCAATGGTGTTTGGCTGATGGAGAAATAACAAGATTCATCAACGAATAGGGGTTGGAAATTTTCTTTATGAACTTCTATTCGTGCTGAGGAATTTTAGTGATATAGACCTAAATATTCCCTAATGTGTGTAATTATCCTATCTAAAAGCGAAAAGCCAAAAGAATGTGGAAATAAAATAAGAGAATTTCAAAGCTCCATATACTTATCTTTGTCCTAACGTCTTACCCTGTAATTACTGTTTGCTTTTTCATTATTCTTCACTTAAATATCAAGTAATAAAGTAATTATTTTTTAACTAATTAACATGTATTCATCTAAACTCTTGAGCACAGCAACTTGTTCACGATTAGGTGTGTTGCTAATTGTTCTATCGGCAACATTACTCAATGGTTGAAGTTCAACTACCACCCTCTTGTCAGCTTCCAAAGTTATTTATACCAGTCCGCCAAGATTTTCAAAATACAAAAATTGGCTCGTCGCAGAAATTAATTTTATTCACTAGCTAAAAAATGTATATTATATATATATATATATATATATATATATATATAATACACATATACATATAATTATATATTTATCATCTTATTATTTTTTGGGAGCGTCTAAGAATAAACATTTCTCTACATTGTATACTCAGGTTTGTCCCAAAAAAATGGACAAGTTAAAATTTACTGAACAATTGATTAGCGGAAAAATGACACTATATAATTGATTAGCGGGCAGTGGCTGTCAAATAAGTTGTGGGCTTATGCCTAGGTGTTTCTCTTTTACCTTTCTTGTGAGCGGCACCACACTCAATTGCATTACCCATTTTGGGTTGAAGTAATCAAACATCCAAAAGTGAGAGAGAATATATCTAACCCAATTAACATGGTCAATCTCTTGCTTGGTCAGTATTCTCCATTTTGGTTAAGAAGAATTAGCCCAAATATCTGCTCATCCAATCACTTAAACAAAAAATAGCTAGTAGAAGTATAATATATACATAATTTATATTATATATATATATATATGTATGTATATAATTATGTATAATCAATATATAATATATGTATATAACTAAAAATGTAAATAATGAATATGACCGATTATTTGTGTAAAGATCCCTTGGTTAACTATTAGTTTCATATTGGGCCATTTGTGTGATGTGCCCAGACAGGCCCAAAAGAAAATTACGTAATGCCCATTTGAAAAATATTACAGTTCTCACCTATTTAGGAAGAAATCTATATATACTATATTAAAAGTACGAAGGCCGTTAGTGAAATATCGTTCGCATTTTTTATCCTTTAAAAATAGATTTCACACTAGACAAAATAGTAATTCAATTATTTTCCTAATAGTTATGACTTTTTTTCCCTAACATTTAAGACTTTGAAGTCAACTAAAATTATAGTTATTAAACATTTCCTTATTTGAAGGAAGTCCTAATATTTAAGAATTTAAAATCAAGTAAGCTTTTATTTATGTAAATTCTTTCCATATTTGAATTGAATAAAATAACTATTACCGTGTAATAATAAGTATGTTTCTTCCATGTAGAATAAATAATCCTAATTCCACACAAAAAAAAACGTTTAATAAACAAAATTAACTTTGTCATTATAACTATGTTTCTTTCTCCAGAGACAAACAAACCAAAATAACTTTAATAATTATGGAGTTTAAAAGTATAAAAGACAAAGCCAAATATTATATTCAACGAACAACAAAGATTTTGGCTTTGAAAATAATAGTTAGCGTTAGTTGGAAGAATTATTTTGAAAAGTAACATTTTGGTTAGTTGTCATTTTTTGAATTTGAAAAATAAATAGTCTCAAAGG